ATAATAGGGCCAAGGGTGAAAAAATGCAGCAATGATACTAGACTCCATGTTGAAAATGGTCTATACAACTTATCGGTGGGAGATAGAAAGGACAACTGGGAGAGAGGTATGAAAGAAAAAGAAAATGTCCAAAAAGAAATGTACTCTTCATCTGACTTATGTAACTGTAACCCCTCTGCACATAACCTTACAACAACAATAAAAATGAAGGCATATTTCTCTCCTATGTGGAAGTTAGATCTAAATTATAAATACATAAAGATAGAGGCTCATATACATACATATGCAAACATGCTATATAAAGTATGATTTGTGCAGGCAAGACTGCAATAGTGTAACTCCCTTCAACAACTAACAGTTTAACCAATACCAGAAACGAATACCAGAAAACTAGAATTAGTGCCATTGGTGGCAGGGGAGGGAAGGGGGGATTAAGTTAATAAAGAAAGGAAGGATAGGCAAATGCAGTCATAATATCCAATTTATACATATATGAAAATGGCAGTGGGTAAATTGAGGGAATGGGTAGGGATGATACAGATGGGGTGGAATGATGGAAAAAGTGACATTGACAAAGATACATTATACTTATAAACTCATATGTTGAACTGAAACCCTTGTGTATAGCTACTTAAAGATAACTTCAAAAGGAATAAAAAATGCATATTAAGTTGCAAAAAAGACGTAACCAGATGACAAAAAAAAAAAGCTCTTTAACATGGAAAGAAAAACAAATTAAAACAGTGCTGGGTAGGTGGCTCAGTAGTAGAGTAGAGTGCTTGCCTAGCATGCATGAGGCCCTGGGTTTGATTCCTCAGCACCACATAATCAGAAAAAGCCAGAAGTGGCACTGTGGCTCAATTGGTAGAGCACTAGTCTTGAGCCGAAGAGCTGAGGGACAGTGCACAGGCCCAGAGTTCAAGCCCCACAACTGACCAAGAAATAAAAATAAAAAACAGTCCTATTAGAATTAAAATTTGAGACATAATTTAAATGAAATTTCTAAAGATTTATCAAAGAACTAAAATGCAGGCAAATAATTTGAGAAATTAAGCAACAGAAAATGACCACTTTTAAATTTCTTGTTAAAGTGCCATGATAATCAAAACTCACATCACTGTAATTATTTTTAATTTTAACCTTAATTTTCTGTGGACCATAAAGGGTACCTTCTGTTGAACTATCACGCATTTACTTGGTCACTAATTTCCATGGCTGGTTGACACTAACAAAATCTGTTGCAGACATATCTTCTTTTAACACATACTTTTTTTTTATGATCATCAGATAGTTGTTCAAGAGGGTTCAATTTAACATCTCCATTTCTGAGAAGCAACAATATCTCTTGTATTAACATCATTGAGTATACTATGCAGGTATTTCTAGATTGCTTCAGCATAGAGTTGCTTTATTATTCTCATTTTTCTCCCCTTAAAGATGCTTAGCAAATTAAGAAAATTGAAATTCTAGTTCGTATGACAACTCGCTAGATACATCTCATTAATCTCTGCAGGCCCCACATCTCATAGAGAACTTTCATCTGTCTTCTTACCACTGGCATCATTCTTATGAATTAAACGTTTTTATTTCTTTGTTGGAATCATAAAGAGTTTCTGAAGGGAGCAGACATGTTTATTCTGCTCTGTATAATTAGAAGTTAGAAACAGCACAGCCACAAAATTGTTATGAGAACAAAATCTGTTGTGTATATGAAAGCCTTATGTGTGTATCAGTCTAATACCCATAATAACACAGTATTTTTACACACGTTTCTTCAGAAGTTAGTCACAGATAAATACAAGTGAGATTTTATTAATAGCACTTACCCAGCCAACCCTGGATTTCACACACACTCCATAGGTAAGGTCTCATCCCCATTAGATTTGCATCTGGTTACTTGGAATTTTTAGAATGAGGAAACATTACTTACAAAAATCTCTTTAAATATGTTTTAAGTATCAAAGCTCACTCAAGGTATGAATCATGGAATACGATAATGATTTGTTCACTCCAGGATTTCCAATCCAGCAAGAATAAACAAATACAAATCTACAAATAGTACTGAGCCATGGCATGTAATTCAAGTGCTATGACTGTTGGGGGAAAAAAAAAGAATGGCTAAAGTCCAGAGCACTGTTAACACCAAATGCTGGCAAGCATATGGAATGACAGGAACTCTTATAGCTGAGGTGGACAGTCACTGGGGAAGACAACCTGGGAGTTCCTGAAAACATCGTTATGCAACCCAACAACTCTGAGCTTGGCATTTGCTCTAAGGAGTTGAAAAAGTATGTCCACATAAAAATACATACTTGGATCTTCATAGAAGCCTTATTTATAATTGCCAAAACTTGGAAGTACCCAGATGCCCTATAGATGTGAACTGATCAATGAATGCTGGTATATCCAGACAAGAGACTTTTAATTTTTTATTGTTGAATTAGAATACAATAATAATCTGAGGGGTTTCATTATGATCCATAGTAGATTCTGAACAAACTAACTCTCCATTACATTCCCATGCTTCCTCCCCTGTCTTTCAGACAATGCCATTTTATTCAATATTGAGAAGGAAAGAACTATTGAGCCAGAAAAGAATGGCGGAAACTTTAATATATATTATAAAGTCAAAGAGGCCAAACCAAAAAAGGCTGCATACTGTATCATTCCAACTGTATGATATTCTGGAAAAAGCAAATAAAAAATAAGGGAAAATCAGTGGATACCAGGAGTTAGTGTGTGTGGGGAGAGTAGAAAGTGATGGATGGGCAGAGCACTCAGAATTTTTAAAGCAGTAAACCTACTCTAGGTTATATTACAGTAGTGGGAGAAAGTCATTATAAATTTATAACTGTTAGCAATAAACTCCTTCCCATAACTTAGCATTCTCCTTCCCCTTTCTACAGGTTGGCTCACTCCCTTCCTAGGCAACACTAGGCCCATTTAGTAAAGGCAGTAAATAATCATCCTCCTACCCGGGCCCCCCCCCCCCGTTTACCTTGGGATGATACTTCTCTTGGGCAGCTACCACCATATAAGGCAGCAAAAGCCCTTTAGAGTGACCTTCAGGTCTGGGCAGCTGCAGGACCCCTTATCTATTACTTGGGCAGCAGCCGTAAACCCTAGTCACCCATGATGAAGCCGCTGGCCCACACATCCACACCAGGGTGTCCACCTCTTAGCCCCTCTAGCCTCTCCTAGCCTCAGTAGGTTATATAGGTCATCTCAGACAAGAGCTGGTGCTTCTTCTCACTTCATTGTGAGAAGGGGTCTTGCCAGTCCCTTTACCAGCAATAGAATCATCGCCCTGTGTTAAAGATGGGATACATCAGGATGGAGGTGGATGCAAATGGACCAGTTTAGATGCTACTGTATTACTCAGGCAAGAATTAGTGGTGAGTCTATCATAGCATAGATAGAGCATACATCAGGATGGAGGTGGATGCAAATGGACCAGTTTAGATGCTACTGTATTACTCAGGCAAGAATTAGTGGTGAGTCTATCATAGCATAGATAGAGTAGTAAGAGACCTTTAGGGTCTAGCTATCTTGTGATAAGATTTCCTTATGAAATTATTGTAGGGATTAACACAAAGAGCAAAAGCAAGAATGACCCCCAGTCCTTTAGCCTGAGCAACTAGAAGGTTGCAGTTAAAATTAACTGAGAAGGGTAAAACTTGGGCAAAACATGTTTTAAAAAAGATTCGGAGTTCAGTTCAAAGTTAACTTGAGATATCTATCAATAACCAAACAGCTATGCTAATATTTGCACAAATTTCTTAGAATTTTTTGTCTTTCTCCTTCGGATGGATCCTGCCACGATATAACACGAATGCATCTCTTCTATAGTGTCTTTAATAAGAACAATATCTGGTGCCAAATTTTCTTACCATAGTGTTGGAGTTATTGCCAAGCCTGAGAGCCCATCAGACATTCACACAAACAAAATGAAAACCTTCCCCTTTCTACATAGAGGCATTGCACATCTTCTCTGTCTTAGGGAATCTCCTATTTCTAGCTATACTTTCCTTCTTCCCTAAGACTCAGCGATAAAACTTCCTGAAGTAAAATTCGTAATATTTACCTCTTCCCTTTTATTTGTCCTTCTCCCTTCAACTTCAAACTTATTCCTCCTTTTTGTATTCTATCTGCTCCTTGTAACTCAAATATTCCCTTTCTGTTTCTAGAACTAGATATGTCTCCATCTCCTCTTGGGCCATTATTAAATTATATGATTTTTATTGACTCACCACTACAAGAGAAGTCCAATTAATGTAGAAATACTGCTGGGAACCCTTGGCTCATTCCTGAAATTCTTGCTAGCTACTCAGGAAGCTGAGAACTGAGGATCACAGTTTGAAACCAGTCTGAGCAGAAAAATCCATGAGACTCTTATCTCCAACAAACCATTAAAAAGCTGTAAGTGGGTGTGTGTGGCTCAAGTAGTAGAGCCTTGAGAGAAAAAGCCAGGTCAGAGGGAAAAACACTGAGTTTGAACTCCAATATACCCCACAAAAATTATCTATTTGTGTGTCTGTCTACCTACCTGCCTGCCTGCCTGCCTGTCTGTCTGCCTGTCTATCTGTCTGTCTGTCTGTCTGTCTATTGGTAGGTCTGTCTATAGGTAGCTAGACACTGGGGCAGAAAAAAATTGTGTAATATTGTGGAATACTTAGTGGAAAATATTCATAACACTGTTTAGTTCCTATATGAGTACTAATGAAAAAGTATTAACTTGGTTGTATGGCTGAAAGTGTAGCATGGAAGTGATAGGTCAAGTGTCTACTAATTCATGATTCAGACACTGTCATTATAAAATGATTTTTCTGCATTCATTGTTTGGTTCCCTTGTCCTTTACATGGAAGTCATAGTTCTCCAGGAACCACTCAGCTAAAGATGATCTGGATTAAATGTGAATTATCAGATACTACTTTGAAAGAATTGTTGCTAAACTTTATTTTTAACTGTGTGTATATATTTGTTTGTTTTTGTCTTTTCTTTTTGGTATGGGGAATCAAACCCTGGACATTTCACTTGTTAGTTAAGGGTTTTGCCTCTGAGCTATATTCCAGCCTAACTCAGATATTTTTGAACTATAAATATTCTTAATACTCTCAGTTGATGATCCCCATCTATAGCTGGCTTGTTTTTGTAATTTCTTCATAGGGAGGTGGAGAATCCAATGTACCAAAACAGGGAACAGGGTACAGGTCATGGTTCTGAGTGTGAAGGTGAGCTCCAACAGTTGGCCTCACAGCTGCTTCTGTCCCTGGGGAAGAAAAGATGGAGAAAAGTAATCTTTTTAGTCCGCATAAAACAGAAGTGTATGAACTGCCTGATGATATTGGGCATTTCTTGGCTCACTGAAGCAACAGAAAATTACTTGTACCTAAGGTTTGCAATCATCTTACTCTCTGCAGTGTTAGCCTAGTCATGATAGCAAGAAAATCTCTTACAATGAACTCATTATACTAACCACTGGGGAGCATTCACAGATGAACATCTGAAATTAGAGAAAATCCTCTCTCAGGGATCAAAAAAGCAGATTCCTCTGAACACTAATATAATTTTAGCTCATGTTCCCACCCTAGGAAATGCAAATCTCGCTAGAAACCTTAAAATGTTATTCAACATTAGTACTTTTATTTATGGTATGATCACAGAGTACAACAAATGCAAATGGGTTTTCTTTTTACAGGAGGTGGGGAGGTGTTGTTTGTTTTTTTTTTTTGGTCTTGTGTTTTGTTGATACTGGGGCCTGGATTCAGGACCTCAAGTTCTCATTTGACTTTTTTACTCAAGTCTGGTGCTCTACTACTTGAGCTGTATCTCTGCTTCTGCCTTTTTGCTAATTAATTGGAGATGAGTCTTGTGGACTTTCTTTACTGGGCTGGCTTAGAACTACAATCCTCAGATCTTAGTCACTTGACAAACTAGGATTGCAGGCTGGAGTAACTAATTCCTGGGAAACAAATAATCTAAACATCTCCTTTTGATGAATACTAAGTATGTTAACATCAATGATGAAAAGTTTCTATTTAAAATAGACATATAACTTTTAGAAGATACTCTGCAGAGTAAAATGCTACTTTGAAGTTAAGGTTTCTAATAAAACTATTTACAATAAAGCCATTCAATAAAAAACAAATGAACAACAACAAAAACAACAAAAACTAGCCTTCTCATTCCAAACTTGTCACCTTGAAAGACCTTGCGTTTATTCCAATAGCCCTCCTTGAAAAACTACTTTAATGTTACACAAGCAATCAATACTAATATTTCCTAGCCCTCTTTTTTTATATACATTTTTCTACCCTGGTCTTTTCTTTAATATTTTTGATTACTTCTTCCACAAACAGTAGCAATAATCTTAAATTCACCTTTACAAGAGAAAGCCCTTGAACTAAATCTAGCCTTTGACTGCTTCTGTATGTTAAGTTTAATTGGAACACAAACGTACTCAGTCATTTACATATTGATTGTGGCTGCTGTTGAACCACAGTGGCAGAGGTGAATAGTTCCTGGTTCTCCAGAGACTATATGGACTGCAGGCCCAAAATAGCCTCCTCTGTTTTTGGAGAGAAGAATTTGGCTGACATTCCTTAAAGGATTAAGATTTGCTAGTTCTTCAAAAATTCCAAAGAACCTGCCACAATTACTAAAAATATTCAGAATATTAGCTTTTAGGCATAGCTGTATCACTGGAATTCCATTTGCACATCACTCAAAATGGTTATTTTGGAAAATGATAAGTTAGTATAAATTGTGTTTGCCTTGCTTGTTGTTTTTCTGGTTCTCAGAGAAAATTGTGATCAAGTATTATTATAGTATGTGAAGGATAAGTGCTGTATTTGGGATGTAAACTTCACCTCTTGCTTCATTACTTTGCTTACCTTTGTTTTATCACATAGCATATATTTACCTCAGTTTTCTCTGATGCAACAAAAGGCTACTTAATAGTATTTTCCTCTGTAAGAGTAGTAAGTGAATGCAATGTTTAAGACCTACCACACAGTAAAGTTTCACTTTTCTTCTTATAATACTATATGGGAATTCATTCTAGCGAAACAGAGAAACTACATTTTGAGAGGTCAAATTGGTTGTCTTTATTAGAAAGCCAGTGACTGAGGTGGACTTCGGTCCCAAAGACCTGCAGTCCAGAAAGTAGTTTCCACAAAGCTTTTAAAGGCAAATACCACATGATGGGGTAGGGGATAGTCAAAGGGGAGTAAGGCAAACTATCTCAGGCCAAATAGCATGACATATCCTCTGCATCTGCAATTCAATGAATGGCCTCTAGGCTTTTCAGAGCTGGGTGAAAAGCCCCCACCACTCAGCAAGGTGAAGTTACTTAGACCCAGTATCCGTATTTCAATTATAATTAATTATGAATATGTGACTGAATTTTTCTTTTATATTTATCCTATTTTAATGGTTAAATCATGATTAATTATTGTTGCTGTCATCATTATTAGATATAATAGAAATAATTACATAAACCATACTATGGAGTAAAGCCTTTGGCAGATTTTAAGTTTAGGCACATTTCCAGGCTATGTCACTTGATTAAGCAGAGTTAACAGTGATAAAGTTCATTGCTTCATGTGAATTTTTTTTTTTTTTCTGTCAGTTGTGGGGCTTGAACTCGGCCTGGGCCCTGTCCCTCAGCTCTTCAGCTCAAGATGAGTGCTCTACCATTTGAACCACATCGAAACTTCCGGTTTTGTTTTATTGGAGACAAGAGTCTCATGGACTTTCCTGCCTGGGGTGGCTTTGAACTGCCATCCTCAGACCTCAGCCCTCTGAGTAGCTAGGATTAAAGGTGTGAGCCATTGGCACCTGGTTGATTTTTTTGTGGGGGGGTATGTTTGAGCCAGTCTTAGAGCATGAACTCAGCATCTAGAAGGTGTCCCTTAGCTTAAAAAATAATTTATTTTTTATTGTAAAAATTATGTACAGAGGTTACAGTTACTTAAGTCAGGTGGTGAGTAAATGTCTTTTTTTTTTTTTTTTTTGTCGGTTGTGGGGCCTGGGTGCTGTTCTTCAGCTCTTCAGCTCAAGGCTAGCGCTCTACCACTTGAGCCATAGCAGCTTCTTCTGCTTTTGTGGTGCTGAGGAATCAAATCCAGGGTCTCATGCATGCAAGGCAAGCACTCTACCACTGGGCTACCTTCCCAGCCCCTACATTTCTTTTTAAATAGTCACCACCTTCCTCTTTTTCTCTTAGTTTTTTCCCTCCCAACCTCCTTTCCCCACAAGTTGTATAGTTCAACATAGTATCTAGAGTGTGCCACTGCTGTATTTGTTCACCTTTTGTCCCCCCATTTCTGTGCTTCCCCTCTACCTTCCCCAAACAATTAACTTACATACAAAAGGTTCAGAAAATTTTAAAAAGCAGCAACAAAATACAAAAAACAAAAATAACAAAACAAACCCTTGTTTCCATTTTTTTTGAGTTCATTTTATATGATCATATTCACATAGCTATGCAGCTTGTGTAATCCTCTCCTAAGAGTATTCTCCTTTGGTTTCACTGTGAATGTCTAGAGTCTGTCTCATTTATCATGTAAACACCATGGATGGTAAAAGACAAAAAATTATACTTGTCCCCCAGACTTGCTCAAGGTTAATTCCCTACCAGTTGAGCTACAGCTCCACTTTCAGCATTTTGGTGACTGAAGGCATCTAAGAATCTCACAGACTTTGTTGCTGGGCTGCTTCAAATGGTGAACCTCAGTTCTCAGCCTTCTGAGTAACTAAGATTACAGGTATAAACCTGGCCTCCATGGTGAATTCTTATATTGAACACTGGCTATTTTCCTGGCAGACTGCTTCTGATATAGGCAATACAAAGTCAATAGTAATTCACTTAGCATTTTGCCTAGAAGTGGTTGATCCATTGGATTTACACACTTATTTTTTGTTGCAGTATCAATTTATTTCCAATGCCAATATTATCAGTATGATGCACCAGGTGATAGTACCTTTACAATTGCTCTCTTTGGTAGAAAATTATATTATCTGCTTCCTATAAATGTTGCTGATGCTTTTAGACCTATTATAAATACTATACTATATAACAAATCAAGGTGTTCAGAAAGCTTTTAGAAATTGAAAATACAACTATTTTCAATTTTTTCAAAGCATGTTTACATGCCATTTTATTTGAATTGGGTTAGGGAAATCAGGCATTTTTTTTTTTATCTTTTGAATGATTAAGAACTATAGCTAAGTATAGTTAAGAGAACTCAGATTAAAATGCTTGCCCAAATTGTGTGTTTTTCCAGAGCTGTCAGCAAAGACATTATGCCAGTATACTTTCTACTGAGGTTATATAGCCAGAATTCAAGTTCCTCATGCTATTAAGAACAATTCCAGATGGCTTTTGCCTGTAATCCTCGTTTTGGAGGTGAAGATTAGAATTCCAGTTCTCAGCTACAGTAGAAAAGTCCAATTCACTACCAAAAAGCTAGAAGTAGAACCAGGGTTCAAGAAGTAGAGCATTAGTCCTTAGTGAAAAAGCTCAGGGACAGTGCCTAGGCCCTAGGTTAAGGGTTATCTCACACACACACACACACACACACACACACACACACACACACACACACACACACACACACACACTCCACACTCCAAGAGATTTATCTTACTATGCTTTACTAGGACCACTTTGTTCTCATCTCAGTTTTCATACCCTCAGGTTTGTAGCCCTCTTGTTCCAGCCTTCCAAGTGTTAAGATCCCAGGCGTATGTCCCTGTACCTACCTGATTATACTTTCCTTTATTATTTTTTAAAAAATCTTATCCTTTCTTACATATGGAAATGCTTAAATGGTGGGATGCTGTCACACCTTTGCTATCTACTAATCGTTGTTTTCTAGATAGGCCTACATTTCCTCATCAGTACTGTGTTAGGAATGATGATAAATGCCCCACAGACTTGTAGGGGAGAATAAAGATTGGAGATTTGAGGTGTGATTCAATGTAAATGCTCTGTAAATCTGGACCATGAGTATTGTCATGCCCTTTCACAAATGTGTGCCCATGAATTCCTTCCTTTGTTTACCTAAAATAAGTTACAGGCTACTTACATATAATTATAACATGTAGGGGAAAGTTCTCTAAAGGAGCATAAAATGAGTCAGTTGTGGGAATTCTGGAGGGAGAAAGGAGCAGTGCATGAGGGCCCACTCTTCTTAGTCATCTCTCTTCAGTCCTCTGTTCCCCCCAAGCTCAGAGCCATCACATTTAATCACAGCCAGATCAGTCTTTCTATATATGTTTTGCTAAAATGAGGTAAAAGGCAAATTATCTCTGCAATTGCAGACGAAATGGGGTCAGGGAGCTTCGGTCGTTGAAAAGCAGCATTGTCAGAGATGTTGGCCCAGAGAAGCTAAGCCAAGATGAGTGTCCCTGGGAGAGTGTTTGTGGGCTTCACCTTGCTCTCTGCTCGGGAAAGGCAGGCACTTTTGCAGGGATTCAGGGCCCCAGCTTTCATCCACAAAGCACATGAAAGAACTCCCACAGATTTTAGAGTCATTTGGTATTTTTTTTTTTTTTTACTGAAGTACTGACAAACTACAGTGAGATCTTTCTGCTGTGCTCTTTCTACTGAACATTAAATTGTCTACCTCCAGCCTTGCTTGTCTTTTCATTCACCTCCCATACCAAACCCCAGGTATCTTATTTAGTTATTTACTTATTTACTTACTTACTTAGTGCCTGGGTGCACTCCCTCAGCTTTTTTCCTTTTTCTCAAGGCTAGTACTCTACCAGTTGGGCTAGTGCTCTAGCACTTCTGGCTTTGGGTCGGTTAGTTGGAGGTCAGACTCTTATGAACATTCCTGCCAGGGCTAGCTTTGAATCACAATCTTCTGATCATAGCTTTCTGAGTTTCTAGGAATACAGGTATGATCCACTGGTGCCCAACATAAATCTGTGGTTTTTGATTATTTATTATTTAGAAGAGATTCCAAAATTTTTATTTAAATAGATGAAGTATTTGGAAGAAAACAACAACAATGAAATGAGAAATCATTTTACTCCTAATACAGGCTCTGGACAAAACACCTGAATAATTCCATAATTATTCCTGTCTGATGATTGAAGAGATCAGGAAGAAGTCAGAAGCTATGCTATGCGTTGTTCCACTCAGGTAGACATAGGATATTGAGTGGACTTTCCATAGGTTATAGCAAGGATGATCATGGGGATTGTATTGTATATAGAGGGTAAGTAGTACTTGTATAAGGGATGGGTACTAAAGACAGGGGGACTAAGAGGAGATTCTGGAGCATGGTATAGAGAGAACATGTATACTTGACCCAGAAAAAATCAAGAGAGAGAGGTGGGAGGTAAGCTTAGAGATCCTAGAAAATAAATGCCATTTCAATTCTAGTTCTTAAAATAGCTCCATCTTTAAAGTGTAATATTGTGCAATTTTCTTCTCTCCTTCCTCCTTATCTTCCCTTGTTCTCTGCAATCTCAACTTCCTTGTGACCTTCCTTTTTGTTTCTCTCTCTACTTATGCCTCTTCCCCCTTAATCCCTATGGAAGGTGTGTCAGAGTCATCTAGGGCTGCTGTAACAAAGTTTCAAAGACTAGGTGGCTGGCTATAGCAATAGAACTTTATTTTCCCCAAATTCTGGGTCTAGATTTCCAAGATCAATTATCAGCAGAGTTGGTTTCTTCTGAGACCTATGTCCTTGCCTTAGAGAAGATAACCTTTCACCTTGCATCTTCCCCTGTGTCTTTTCTCTGTGGCTATGTGCTGATCTTATCAAGATGCCAGTCATATTGGGTTACCTTCCATCCTAATTACTGAATTTTTTACTTAGTTCACTTTCCAAGGTTCCTGTCTTCAAATATTGTCATCTTCTGAAGTACTAGGCTTTAGGACTTATGTATATAAATTCAGTGGGCTACACAACTCACCCCATAGCAGCACCAATAGAAGGACATTCATGGAAATAAAGAGTTCTCTCATAACATACTTACACCTAGGTAATAACTGAGCGAAATAAGTGCCAGAGTCTCTTCTACTGAAAACAATAGCTGAACAGGGAAACTCCTAAACCCAGAATCCATCATTCAAACATGTAAAGGCTATGAAGAGAACACAATCCAGTTGTCTGAACACTGAATCATCAAAACACTGCAAAAATTGGCAAAGTCACTAAGTGCTGGTGGCTCATACCTATAATCTTAGCTACTCAGGAGGCTGATACCTGAGGATCGTGGCTTCAAGCCAGCTGGGGGAGGAAAGTCTGTGAGGCTCTGCAATTAATGTCCAGAAAACCAAAAGTGACCCTGTGGCTCAAGTGGTAGACTGGTAACTTTAAGCAAAAAGAGCCCAGGGACAGCACCCAGGTGCAGAGTTCAAGCCCCAGGACTGGGAAAAATAATGGCAGTCATTGGTCCAAAAGAGGCTATTGGATAAGGGGTATTTGGCTCAGATCTGAAAAACCTTTTATAGACTTGAATTCCCATCAGACATTAAGATAGTCTGAGCTGGCAACATCTCCCTTAAGCACCTTTTATGAGGATGCCAAGCCAAGTAGTTAACTTTTTTTCATTAGTATTTTTAATCAAAATAATTGGAAACATTAGCCATGTAATATTGGCATGAATTGCTACTTAGATAAACCACATATTTTATATATTTTAGCATTAGTAAAGTTCACTCAACTCTACCCTTGACAATTCAGTTGAAGATTTCATTTTGGCTCTCTTTATTTAAGGGCAATTTCTATATGGTTCTCTGAGTCAAATATCTGAGCTGTAGGTCAGAAGAACACAACTATTTCAACTGATTGTTTAACACATAGTGATATTAAAGTGAAATAACTTTTGATGAAATAAAATAAAAGTCTGGGAGGACCCTAAGGTGAATACATCAAATTTAATGTCTCCATTAAAATATTTGAAATGGCCTATTACCTATATTCTGCATGCTTGGAGAATGTCTTGACTTCCCTTTTGTATGCAAGAGAAGGCAAAGACTAGGGATGAAGCCCTACTTCATATTCTCATATATCACAAGTGCCATTGAAGTGATTTCTCATTTTTCTCTCCCTCTTCTAAATAGGAAAACTCAACAATAGATCCCCCAAATTCAGTATTTCCATGTACCACACACACACACACACACACACACACACATATACACATACACATACATACAAACACATACAAAATATACATATTCCTCAGTAGCTGGACTTTATCTGAGAAGCAGTAAATTTTTTGTGAATATTGATCTTTTGACCCTTACTTGCCTCTACCCACAATAGGATCCAGGAATGGTCCTCTATCTTCCCTCTGAAGAGGGACTTTTTGTTATAGAAACATTAGGGAGAATGTGAATGCATAAAGGAGAATCTAGTCATGACTGTGAATCCAGTGTGGGTTCATATTTCAGATTGCTCTAAATATTGCCCATGGATTTGATTCCTGAGACAGAGTTTGGGAGAATTTAAGGATTACAGAGAATAACATTTTCTAAATTATTTTTTTTAAACTTTGGTTTTAGATAATGGAAACAGGAATTTCAAGTACTCTGGGGTAACATTTGCTCTAAGGCTATGTGAATTGTTTGTTACTAACTTAAATGCATATTGTGCATCCTTTTTACAGGATAGTGAAGTACGTCAGTGGTTGGATAGCCTATATGGCCAGAGAAGAAGATGAATAGCAAAGAATAACTACTTCAGTGGCCTCCAAGTAAGATGGTAATAGAAGATAATATTGTAAGAGTCTACATATTTCTTAATAAAAATCAAACTCAGAGGCTATACCTGGGACTGGGAGGAAAGGGAAGAATGAGGAGGGAAACAAAGACTAGAGCCCAGTTCCTGTTATTAAGGAAATACATATGGTCATATTTGTTCAGAATAGGAGAGTATACTTTATGTTCAAGAAAGAGTTGTTTTGTTCATGAATTCACAACCTAATTTTTTATTACATCCTTACCTATATATCTGTGAAGTTAACTTACATAGAAAAGGTGTGTGTGTGTGTGTGTGTGTGTGTGTGTGTGTGTGTGTGTGTGTGTGTTTGTATGTATGTGTGCTTATCAGAAGAGTGCAGTAATAGATAATATCTTCCATGGGAAATAATTACCAATTTCTAAGTTTATAGTTAAGAAACAGAGGTAGTATGGAAAAAGTCTGAATCTACTTCCTGAAACTTGAGAGGTGTAAAATAAATGATGTGGATATAGATTTTTAAAGAAAACAATGTCTTCCTAAGTATGTTCTTGTTTTCAAAGACTGTAGGATAATATATAGAAGGTGATTTAATGTCCAACACTCATTGCTATGATATACAGATTATTGAAATAATATTAAAAGTGTCCCCTTTTATTTTACATTCATCACTCTTCAGGCTGGTGCACCCTGTAGGAAATACACAAAGGCTAGACAAATACATTCATCACTGTGGCACATAAACTGCTTTAGAAATTATTACAACAAAGCTGGGATTTATTTCAGCTGGGGTCTCCTTTCTTATAACGTGTTCCCGTGTAAACCCTCCCCTCAAATTCGTGCTTTGGTGTCTCTCATAAGTTGTGAATTGTTCAGGGTTCACCAATGTGCTTGATAGAGGATAGTTTTTCCAGATTTCTAAGAAGAATCCATAAACACCTTACCATAAATGGGGTCCAAATCTCCAATAGCGAAAACTGCCCTGGTGCGTCTCCGGAAGTGAATGGTAGGTCCCTTCAGCCAGCACTGGAAACAAAAGAGGACCACCCCACAGAGAAGAGCCACCAAGAAAATCAGCAGTAGAAACCTGACATCAAAAATAGCAGGTGGGAAATGAAGTAGGGCATGTGTCAAGTTAAGAGTTCATAGTACTACCTTGAAAGTGGACAAGAAAGGCTCTGCTAGATCAGGGCAAGCAAACTGGGATGCTTAACTCCCATCACCATACATTGCTACTGTACTTGGAGTATTGCTGGTCCTCAGAGAAGGATGACATTGTCAAGTGGTGATAATCATTTGTTTCTTCAAATGTTGAAGGTCATTCCCAAAGTTAATTTCCTTCCTTCCTTCCTTCCTTCCTTCCTTCCTTCCTTCCTTCCTTCCTTCCTTCTTTCCTTCTTTTTGCTTCCTTTTTTATTCTTCCTCTCTACTTTCAAGTTTATATCCATTAGTTCAACTTGTGTTTCAGCAATATATTTGTGCATATATATTGTTGGTGTGGGGTTTAAACTCAGGTCCTTGGTGCTGTCCCTGAGCTCTTTTGCTCAAGGTTAACATTCTAACACTTGAGCCACAACACCATTTTAAGGTTTTGAGTGGTTAATTGGAATTGAAGCTGGGAATGCGTCTTAGTGTTAGAGTGCTTGCCTAGCATGCACGAAGCCCTGGGTTTGATTCATGAGTACCACATACACAGAAAAAGCAGGAACTGGTGCTGTGGCTCAAGTGGTAGGATGATAGCCTTGAGCAAAAGATGCTCAGGGGCAATGCCCAGGCCCTGAGTTCAAGCCCCAGGACTGGCAAAGAGAGAGATCTTTGCCTCCAGAGAGAGAGAGAGAGAGACAGAGAGAGAGAGAGAGAGACAGAGACAGAGACAGAGACAGAGATAAACAGAGAGAGACATAGAGAGAGACACAGAGAGAGAAAGAGAGAGAGAGAATCTTAGCTTGCTGAGTAGCTAGGATTATAGATGTGAGCCACTGGTATCCTGGATAAGTTTACATATTTTAGATGTTAGGACAATGATTTTCAAAGGTAGATAAGATAAGTGTTTGCCTTTGATAGTTAACTATAAATTGATAGGACTGTTAAACACAAAAATCAGGATTTAGAAAATCATAAAAAAAACTTTCTGGACTCTGTCATAGAAGAAGTAGCTACTTGTTCTGAACATCTTTTATAGCTGAACTATATCACAGGAGGAATCATTTAGAAACATTTTAAAGAGTCAATTATTACCAATCTCCAACTCTGGAGTAAACTCTTTCTTTCAAAAACAGTTGGTTCCCTGCCACAGAAAGTGTTTAAGCAAACACTGGCCAACACTCTCTAGCTTGAAAGGGATATTCTACAGGTATTGATTTACATCACCAGTAAAATTTCCTTCTGCTATGTGTAGTCTCAAATTATTTTGGAAAATAAGCATACATTGAATTGTTTCATAAAAGGAATCAAGTATATTCTTACCAGATGTACCACATATTAGGACGCTCATCGTTGTAATTTATACACCTGATGATATAGAAAGAGCAGTAAGTAGTAGAACTCTATCTGGCTAAAACTTATCTCTCTGGGAATATAAAATTTCTACTCATCACATTCGTCCCCTCAGAATAACCACCTACTAATCCTCCCCACCCCCCCATCTACATTTACCTGTATAGATGTAAGTTTGAATCTAGTAGGTAGATAGACAGATAGATCTACAGTAATAGATTAGATTCTAAAGTTAAAAATGTTGTTATGTAAGATGTGAACAACAGAACAAACTTTTAGAACAGCATGTCATAATTATTAGGCAGATAACCATACTCCCATTCTCTTTATTTAGGTAGCTAGGGTTCTTTGCAATAAAAATTTTCCATGGAATGCTTATAAACCTTATTAATCTTTAGTACCTTGGTAGAGAATAAACGTATTGAACAGTTGGTTTCTTTCTGGTTAAATAATTTGTAAGATGTTAAGTGTGTGTGGGGGGCAGGGGGAAGAAATAGTTAGATATCCCAATTACCAGAGAACTGGAAATTTGTCTCTTTGGTCCAAAAGATTGAATGATTTGTGACTAGACATTCACAACTCTGTCACTACTGAAGTAAATTTATAAAGAGCATATAAAAAGTTGACAATGGGTTTAACTGGTCAGTTAATAGAGATGTGCATGTTGTGAACTTAAGAGTTGTTCTGCACTGAATGGACATCTGCAGGTCGATTTCTCTCAAATCTCAGCATCTGCCCACCATTACTGCACCCTGAAGTTGAACAGTGAATGCCTGTTCATCACAGCCTTGGAGACAGAGCTATGCTCAATCATGCCTTCCTCAGCCATTGTTCAAATAACACTTGGTGCTTTTTAGCTTGAAAGCATTCGTAGATATCAGTTAGTGTATTGCTCCAAGCATCTTCTCTGGAAGTGTCACATCTATCATTATCCTAGTTAGAAAAGAGTTTTTAACATATGTGAAGTGTCAATCTATTTTTTTTTTCCCCAAACACTGAAGAGACAAGCCATTCACCCAGGCCAGGAGATATTCTTCTTTTGTTTTTTACATTTGAATTTTGAGCCCCTAGAAAGATTAGCAATGTTCTTAATTCAAAGTGGCTAAGGAAAAAGAAGACAACCCAAATATAACTTTAAAAATCATCTTAACACAGGCTACTCGCACTAGGAGAGTTTATTTTTGTTTTTAACTAAATTATGTAACATATGCTTTGAGATCAATCATACTATATGACCCAGGCTGGCCTCAAACTCATGATCTTCCTGCCTTAATCTCTACTGTGATGAATTTATGAGCCCTAGAAATAAGGGCTCTAAAAAAATTAATGGCATAACATTATAAGGGAATATTATCTACCTATCAAAAAGAATATACATTTATGCTTATAATTAGAATTCCTGGTTAAAAAAAACACAATCTAAAGAGCTCATTCTTACATTTTTACACAAATCCAATAATTTAACTCCCCAAACCTATTAATTAATATGAATATACAATTAAATACAAATTGCTTATTTCTCTTGGAGACAGACGTAGGAGTAATTTTCCCTTTTAATATTTTTGTATTATAACTTTTTAGTATATATATATATTACTTTCATTTTTTTTCAGAGCTGAGGACTGAAGTCAAGGTATTGCACTTTTTAGGCAAGTACTATTCCACTGAACTAAATCTCCAGCCCTTATACATCACTTTTGTAGTAGAGGAATCCACACACAGTTCTTAAATTAAAAAAAAAAATCTTAAAAACTCACAGTCTATTAGTTATAGATTCATATAGGGAATATGTTTTGGATCCTGGCCACAATAAAGTTTTGGTTTTGAATCTTGACATGGAAGGCTAAGGCTGTCCATTATTTCATCTCCTTCAATATATAAACCTCTATTTATTTTTACAGATTAAGGCGGTCCATATAACAATATAAATTTCAAGTTCTCAGTAACTCATTTTTGTTTCCTAAGATTTGAGCCACTCAACATTGTATTCAGTGTTAAGAGTTACCCAAGCTAACTTATTTTACTTCTCTGAACCCTGTGCACCCTCTGGTGGAGGATCTGATAAGGAAGAAAATGGCCAGGATGCTGTTAGCAAGCGAAATGGAATGTTATTGTGCAAAGTCAGAATTTCTGGCATCTTGGGATCATTTGTTCCACTCTGAGGATTTTACACCCTGGACAACTGAGATTCAGAATGAGGAAAGACAGTGGGGTAGTGACTAGCTGACCAATGAACGGAAACTAGCAAAAGGGACATCACTTTACCTGCATTCTTCTCCACCCTGATTTCCTTTCCTTTGTCAATTCATTCTCAGAAGTAACTTTTGAGTTCTCTTTAAAAAAATAAAAACAAAAAGCAAACAAAAGAAAAACCTTAATAAAAAATGCCTGGATCCAGACGCTGTGGCTCACACCTAAAAACATCCCAGCTATATAAAACATGCAGGTTGGAAGATCATGGTTGGGCTGGCATGGGCAAAAATGGTCAATCCTATCTTAAAAGTACTTAACCTAAAGAGTGAAGGATGTGGGGTGTGTGTGTGTGTGTGTGTGTGTGTGTGTGTGTGTGTGTGTGTGTGTGTGAGAGAGAGAGAGAGAGAGAGAGAGAGAAATGGTGTGTGCGTGTGTGTGTGTGTGTGTGTGTGTGTGTGTGTGTGTGTGTGTGTGTGTGTGTGTGTGCTTGGGTGAAATGATAGAGTTCTTTCCCCTGACTTCAAACTCTAGAGCACTTGGCTCTGATTTCAAACTCCAGTATCACATAAACTATAACAGTATTTTAGTTACTCAAACTCTAAATCCAAGATTTGCATAAAATGGTTTTAAAATGAACTTATTAAAGGATTAATCATGATAGGTTGTTGATATAATAAAGAAAAAGAGAAAGGAAAACAGGTATCAAGAAGAAGTGACATTAGCCTTTCAATAATCAGCACTCTTTAGAAGTAGATGCTGAAGGAGATAATTTCTTTCTCTGCCAGAAAACTAGAGCTTCCCCTTGCTCCAATGCTTCTGCTTTGCATGGATGTTTAGAGCATTTGATCTTTATTTTCATTCTTGGTGCAGAGAATCTATGGATCTAAATATTAAAAGTTCATTATTATTATTACCATTGCCAGTCCTGGGGCTTGAACTCAAGTCCTGGGCACTGTCCTTGAGCTTCTTTTACTACAAGGCTAGCAAACATTTGAAGTGAAACCCTGGAGAGCAGCTGAAAAAAGAGAAAAAAGACAGACTAAGATCAGTTTGTTAATTATGAAAGATGTAAAACCCACATGTAAAATTATAACTGGATTTCATACCCAGCTTAAGCTTTCCAACTATGGAAGCTGATAAAGAGAACTCTGTTGACAATAGGAACAAGCTTCTCATCGTCCTTTTAGAATAAACGGAATAACAGATTCCATGACCTTGGTTCTTTGATAAAATTCCTCAACATAGGCCAATATGTAATTCCCATCACAAATTTTTGAGGAAAGTATAACTATCAAATTATATCATCCAAATATTGGTGGAAAATTTCATACATAGTATTTAGAAAAGTATTCCTCCAATATATAATGAATTAAAAGTTAGATATACAATAACTTTAAAATTCAATAACTTTAAAATTCGAGCTACAATAAAATCCTAGGTTCAGAATCAGTCCTAGGACCAAATCTAAGCTCTCTCTTTTATGTTATGTTTTCCTAATCTTATTTATTTTTTTATTTCTTTTATTTACTGTGTAGCCCAGGCTAGTCTTCAAGTCACAGTACCCCTGCCTCAGTCTCTTGCCTTCTCTGTTTTTCTTTCCTACTAATTTAGCATTTTATTTGAGGCAGTTTCTGGTTTTTACTCAAAAGGAAAATTATGATAAATATAACAAATACTTTGATGCAAAATTATGTGGTCATAAAAAGGTCATAGCTAAGTACCAGTTGAAGTCCTGCTATTAATTTACCATGTCTCTTTGGCTCTCAATTACTTCACTTGAAAAGGAGACCAGTAACCTTAGCATAAAATGTCCCCTATTACCATATGTCATGTTAATTAGAGAGTTAGATTCGACATTTAAGATCCTTTCCAATTATGGATTTTTAAAAATTCTATTATTCTGGGTCAAAGGCAGAAAATGAAGAGGCAAGATGAGAACAACCATGATATCATGTCCAGAGTCAGCTAAGCAGCAAATAATCAAAACCTGTGTTGTGTCAGGAGCCGCAGAAAGCAGAATGGAAAAGATCCAAAATTATTGCATTCAAAGAGACATGAAGAGCCACGCAAAAGCTGAAGAAAGGAACACACTAAATTAAATAAGCAGCAAGAGGATGAGCCACTAGAAATAGGTGAATAATCCCAGGACCAAAAATATCACCCACTTGGCCTTGTCTCTTGCTCTAGAGCCCATGCCCATAGACCCTGGCTTCGAGGGTAATGAGAAATGTTCATTGAAAACAGCTGGCTGGCAGACGCTGTAGCCATCAGAACACAGTACTTGGCAGAAGTGCTTTTCTGACACTTGCCCTAAGTCACAGTGCATTACGGTTACCATTAATCATCATCAGCATTATTAATGACATCTTCTCCCTGTGTCAAAAATAGAACTTGGAGAACCAATAAGTCTACAGCACCAAAAAAAAAAAGGTGAGAAAAGTGAACCAGTTACTCACATAATGCACACCAGGATCCCTTTGAAGTGTATATATGACAGTGTAGAATTTAGGGTGCTTTGTTGTGCTCAAAACTGAACTATCCAGAAAACTGGCATCCTGTGCTAGCCCTGACTTATCAGAGTAGGTGCAGCTGCGGAGCTACAACATGGCCCTTTCAGGAACTAAAGGGCCTTTGAAGCCTCAAGAGAAGGGAGCTCAGTGGGCGAACGTACCTACAGATCAACTGGGCCATTATTCAACAAAGCTGCCCACAACAAATGTTTTATGCTTCCTGTTTTCAGAAGAATTGACCCATCTGCAATTTATGAACTATTTACTTAACATTTTGAAATTACATGATTAGAATGATTATTTTAAAATTCTTTGGGGGCTTTTCAAATGAACCTTTTTATTCAATTTTTTCCCCAATGCTAAATAAAAATAGAGAATTTCTTGTTACTTACTTACATTTCATTTTCTTCACACAGTAGATCTGAGAGCACCAACTGAAACACATGTTTAGAACAATAAAATCCAAACATCTCATCAATCTAATCCTTTAATATAAGCGGTGCCTAGAGACAATGTGGGTTTATGTCATTAGTTTCTTTCTTTCTTTTTTAATTAAAAACTCTGCAGCATAGTTTGTTGGTGCTGCATTTGGGTTTTAATTGAAAAAAATTCTCTGGGTAGAATCTTAAACTTAGCAATGACAGAGGATGTAAAATGTGAACCAGATTCCTATCTTACATAATATTATGGATGGATTTGAAAACTTTGCTATAAGAACTTTTGTACACCTTGAATTATTTTTGCTTTCTTTCCACATTTTTGTTAGACAAAGGATGTTCATCATCATCATCATCATCATCATCATCATCATCATCATCATCATCATCATCATCATTATCATCATCATCACTAGTATTATTGCTGTTGCTCTTGTGTTTCAATACTGGCATTAGCTTCTAGTTCTTGCTTTTTTTTTTCTGGATTTTCTTGCTTGGCTTGGTGCTGTACTACTTGAGCTACACTTCCACATCTGGCTTTTTAGTTGGTAATTGGAGATAAGAGTCTCACATAGAATTTTCTCTCCTGGCTGTTTTTGAACCCCAATCTTCACATATCAGTAATCCTAAGTAGCTAGGAATAGAGGCATAAGCCACCATTGCCTAGAATACTTGTATTATTTTTATGTAAAGGAATCAAGTTCCCAGCAAGCAGAAGTCAAACCTATTAGCTTGAATGGGTGTTAAATACATGCATGAAAGGGTGACTTAAACTTGTAATGTCAAGGTCCTTTTAAGATCATATGGAATTCCTGTTGGGATTTAAAAACCTTCTCTTTATCAAAGAAGAGGGAAAGTAATAACCTTCAAGAGATCTGAACTGCAATTATCTCAGTTTTCTATGTTGAGCCCTTATAGATGACATCTCAGAGCCACAGTCACAGGAAAGAAAGTACTTTATTTCCTAAAACGATCACCTGTCATCATAAGGACAAGTAAGAAGCTATAAAAACTTTAAAAGGATAGACTTGGGAATTTTGTAGGAGGTAGGTGTTTCTACCCACTTAATATCAAATGTGTCTTCTTCTGTACCTTGTATTTACTCCACCAAGTTTATCTAGGCAAAAGAGATTTGTGGAGATATAGATGAGCTATGAATTGGCCATCAGAGAACATGGTAATGAACAATTTATAAGCACAGAAAATGAGTTGCATTCTCTTTTGCTAGAATGTGGCGAATAGATTTGCATACTAACAGAGAAGAAAATGAACATTCAAATTTTGTCCATAAAGAAACTTTATTTATGAGTAGATGCAATCATTAGGGGCTTAGCTTAAAGGATAAACAAATAAAGCCAGAATTACACTTCCAAGTCACTTCCTTGTCTTCTGGTATTTTGTACTCTAGCAAGAAGTACATGGTCTTCTGTTATACTACATTACTACCAATGAATTAGCTGTTAAGATTCCAGGCTATTATGAAATAGTGAGAGAAGTCTTACTATGTTATAGATGAAAATCTTTCAGGTCCATGGTATTCAACAGAGATGCAGGTATGGGTCCAAAAAGGGTATTTAAAGCAGAGAAAGCAATTAATGTTAAAATGGCTCTGATCTATCTATAGCCGTCAGCATTGAAAAACAGTCAAGAATCAAATATGGTTGCAGACCAACAGTTAACATTTTTACATTAACCCAGCCATGGCATCTTGCTCCATAGCATTTTTATTTAAAATAATCATAATAAAACAAAGTAAAGTAATGGTTAAATGTATATTACGTTATTTCTACAGTAACAAAACTAAATTAAGAAATTTACCATATCCATGGTAAGTCAAGGATTCATAGAATCTCAGGAAATCTTGCAGAAGAAAAGATGATTACCTGGAATAGTGGGGTGCACAAGGTTCCCATTGCTGAGATCACAGAAGTGACACTGAAGCATCTGGTTCTTGACATACCTTCAGGATAATCTGCTCAGAGACAGTGGTTGGCTGACTCAGATTATTTCCTGTTCTCTGCACTTGTTAGCTGCTCTAGGTTATGTTTCCTACATAGCTGGCATGAATGATGGCTCCTCGTGACTAATGAAGTTGTGTGCTAGGAGATGGAATGTTGAATGCATGCTCACAGGTACTAAGAGTTCAGGGAATTTAAGTTTAAGGTCAGAACCTTGGAAGTGTTTGTCAAGGCCCTTAAACACCACTATGGAAGCTAGCTGGCTGCTTCAAATGCTGTCAACATTCCAATGTATTACAGGGAATTGGTAGAGATTTTAAAAATAGAATCTTATATTTGGAACACTTATTTGGTTTTTCTACCCATTTTTAGATCCTCTTTTCTATTCTCATACACATCATTCAGCCTCTGGCTGGGGCTTACAAAAAATCAGATTGGCAAATTCAGAATGTGGCAACATCCTGAGAAGGGATAGATATGGAGAGACGTTCTTCCAAATACAATTGAGAATATTACACAGCTTATTTGGGAGGTAGTTAGGTCTACTAAACTAAAGAATAAATACATCATTTGTCTTAGAATTCACCTCCTAAAAATGCATACAACAGATACCTAGATGTGATACAAATGATCATTAATTATGATGTTTACTGTGAAAGACACAGTTCTTAGGTTCATTCAGCAGAATAGTAGGAAGCTATGATGGCTAACCTCAGCAGCTGTTCTGAGTAGGCAGATCACAGACACTTATGTGGAGAGGATTCTAAGAGTTATTCTAGAACACTGCAAATCGTGACCATTTTATGTACAAACGGGGAGAGAATGCTACAACACTTGCTGTATATAAACTCTATACATATATTTTACATGCACACAGGAAGGCTCTGCATAAAACTGTGAACAGTAATTGTTTCTGTAAAAAGGAAAGGAAATCGGAGACTAAGAAAATAAGAATGGGAGAGAAATTATATTTCTCACCGTTAGTCTCTTGAATGTTTTATGTGTGTATATACATACATATATATTTTTTACAGTGTCTATGTGTTATCTAATCATTTTATACAAACATAATTTCCAACAGCCAATTTTAAAGCCAAACACCTAGAATTCAGAAGAAGCATATTGTAGCTGAGGTTTCAGTGTATTCACCAAATCCAATTCAAATGATAATACACGAACCCATTTATGATCACACACATAGATTGCAACTGAAACAAATGAGCCATATTAGTTCACTAAAATACTGCTCTGAATTGACCATTAAGGTATATAGATAGTTGGAGCTGCATCTGGACAGGCTAAGCAGGCTGTGCAGTTTCCGTGCTCTGTTTAGTATGCAGCCACAGTCACAGCCATGAATTTCAAAGCAGAGGAAGAAGGGCTCAGTGCCAATGCCAACAGGAGAAAAGTAAACCGAGCCTACAGTATTATTTGTCCCTAAGACACCCTCCATTTTGAGTGTCTCTGAAGCCTGTAATTAAACAGAATGAAAAATAGGCTTTTCACTGGTGAACTTATTTATTAGGCGGTCAGAAGGCTGACTTCCGTCAGTGGAGTCAATGATCTTAAGAATTTCTGGGAAAGGAAGGAAAGACCAGATGACTAGAAACGGAATGGAAACAAGGACAGCATGTTTAGAAATGAGCACAAAGGCGGACCAGAAACACGGATCAAATAATTCTTGTTAAAAAGTACATGATTCCGCCGCAGGTGCCTAACATGACAACAGAATGGAGATGGAGTCGACAGTCACAGTAATATTGCAATCACCACTTCTATGGCTGGTACTAAGATAAAAAGTTACATTCATTACTCACTTCCTCATCCCAGATGACCATTTATCCATTTCCTTGTGTGACTTTCCCTTCCGACTCCCAAAGGCCAGCATGAAGTATCTGCTTCAGATACTTCTTGTTCATGACCATTGGATGGAATTGGGAAAAAGTCTAGCCATTCATGATTTATTATCTGAAATTTTAGTTCTTTATTGTCAGAGAATTGGAAATTTCAAATAGACTGTTAAGAACCAGTACAGAAGCTGGGCACAGTGGCTCACATTGGTCATCTCAGCTACTCTGGAAGTGGGAGGGTTGCCTTTCTGCAATTTCGGGTTGTACTTGAAAGACATTTTGGAAAAAAAAAATAGTGAGACTTCAACTTGGTCCATAAACCAAAGATGGTGGTAAGTATTGTGGTCCCAGCAAAGTTGGTAGGAGGATCACAGTCTGACATTAGCTCAAGTGACAAGTGCAAGAACCTACCTGAAAAATAATTAATGCCAAAAAAGTGAGGGAAGTGGCTGGGAGCATGGTTCAAGTAGTCTACCTAATAAGTATAAGGCCCTGAGGTGTATCCCTAGTATCACACACACAAACACACACACACAGATACATTAATATTAAATTTTCCCAAATTTAACATCTTGCATAACTATAGTAATACTATCACACAAAAAGCCTTGACGCTGATAGGATCCACCACCCACCTAATTTTGTTGTTTATGCTTATCGTTAATGCTTGTGATTGCTCTTGTCTAACTATATGCTTACGAGCATGAACTTGTGATAGTAACTCTGATCACTGGCAAGTTAAACTGAGGATGAAGAACTTCCATGAAGTTGAAGATGAAGAACTTCACTCAGGCCCTCTTCCCCCAGGTACATTTTATGTTTGAATATAAAGGTGGGAGGAGGCAAAACTCTCAATAAGAACTCAGAGAGCAAGAGGCAGTGATTGTGTAGGAAACCACACATCCAAGATTCACTGATTTCTTACATGATGGACCTTTAATCTTCATACTTGTAATGAGAGCACAGATGCTTGCACATTTAACTCTTCAGTGCTGGTCATTTACCCAGACCTTCTCCTTGACAGGGAAAATCAAATACTGCAGAAATGGATGGACATGGATGGATATGAAAAGTATTGTTTGGATTCAGAGCCTTGCAAAAGCACAAATTCCCTGAAGCTCTGAAGTCATTTCAGTATTTGTCCTTAAAGGTCATGACATGCAGCTGTTCAAAATGAAATAGGCACCCAAAGTCAAGGTATTAAGTATGAATAAATCAAACCTATGAACCCAAATGGTCAGCATAACAGAAGATCCAAAGACAAGCAAGGAGCTATTGAATATTCTCTTGAGGGAAACTGGAGGAGCAGGTTGAGGTTCTGGGATCTGGAAGACATTGGTTAAAGGCACCACTAACCAACAATAACACAGTTATTCCCTGTAAAACTGGATTTTCTTCAGTAAAGATAATTTTGGCATATTTCCCTCAAATAACTTCACTTTAAAGATCGAATCTGAAGTATAGATATAAAATAGACATTGAACAGATATAAGGAACTAAGCACTACAGAATAAAATAGTGAAATACAGAATTCCTTAAGCAGTTCAGCTGTACATGGGAATTGTCAGAGGTAGGCTGAGGTAAAGGAGTACTTACAAAGCTACTTTTGCTTTCTCTCCCTAGTATGAAGAAAAACTGAACCACATCACTAAAGCAATGACCAATTTTCATTCTTCATTTTATTTGAAGAAACTATCAGCATATAACACAATTTAATGCTTTTCTCTGTTAACCTCTCTTCATCTGGCCTCAGGCACAATACATTTTTTTGTTTGTCTCCAATGTTCAGTTTTCTCCATCTTCCTCACCTTGACACATTAGGGGTATCCTAAAATTCAGTCATCAAATCCATCCTTTGTTATATAGCTCACTCCCTCCTTCACCCCTTGTAGATGATCACCCATAGTCTTATAACTCCCAACCTCATACCTTCAAACTAAATCTCTTTCCTGAACCATATAATCAAACACCCACCATGTACAGGTTCGTTAAACTTCTACAAATAAACTTACTGCACACGTAACCTCATCTTTCCCATTTACCCTTTTTCCCTTACAGACTTTTCCTGTTCCACTGAATTACTACTCTTTTCTTTTGGTTGTTCAGACTAAAAGGACTTTGTGTGTGTGTGTGTGTGTGTGTGTAACTATTTGTGACTTTCTTACCCTGCTTCCAATCAATCAGAAGTAGCCTTTACTTTCACAATATGTACAGACCTTCACTGCTTTTCATTACCTTCACCAACAATTCACTTAAATTATTCATGAATGGCTATCACCTGTCACTGAAATTACTGCAATAACTTCTTAGTGAGTACTTCGTGGTTTATACTTGTCCACCTGCAGTCTGCCCTCAATATAGCTGGGAAAGTCATGCTTTTAACTATAATTCAGATCTTGTCATTTCTCTACACAAAATCTGTTGAGTTGCTTATTTTCCTCAAAGTTGAAAAAAATGAGTCTTTGCAATTTCTTACAAAAGCCTTACCAGACCAGTTTTCTTCCCTTTCTAGACTCAGACTTTACTTATCACTTGGTCCACCCTTTCCTAGCTCTCTTTGGCCTTCTTGGTTTTCCTAAATAACCAAGGCATCCTGCTGCCCCATTGCTCTATATTCACATCCTTCATGTGCCTACATGGTTTACTCTTTTACCTCCTTAAAACCTTTGCTGGTAAGTTGCATTCTTTCTGAGACTTTTCTCTTTTCTTTCTTTTCTTTTCTTGTACTTTGGGCAGTCATGGGCTTGAACTCATGTCCAGGGCACAGTCTCTGAGCTTCTTTTGCTCAAGGCTAGCACTCTATCACTTGAGCCCCAGAGCCACATCCAGCTTTTTCTGTGTATATGATACTGAGGAATTGAATCCAGGGTTTATGCATGCTAGGAAAGCACTTTACCACAAAGCCACATTCCCAGCCCCTCTCCGAGGCTTTTCTGACTGCTATATCTGATACTGAAGTGATGATTCTATCCTCTTTTTGTAGTTCATATATTCCAGAGAATTTTGGAAAATGCAGTTTTGTAATACCAGAGAGATAATTTTTAAAATTATTTTTTCCCTCTGAAATGTCAAATTCATAAACAAAGGGCTTTTGTCTTTTCAAAAAATATGCATCTCTGGTACTTTGGTGTTCTTCACAGGGTAAACACTAATAAATATTTGATGAATAGGTAAAACAACTGATTAAGTAATATGTCAGTGAGAAATTGGGAGCAGAGCACTAACATTCTCTTACAGAGAAGTCATCTAGATAATATGAGAAGGAAAAAAATAAGGAGAAATT